TGTAATGTAATGGGGACTGAGAGCTCGTTAGAATCATGTTTTGCATGCAATAGCCAAAAGTATTTGGCCTGGCCCTAGTAGTTCTATGCCTGGCTTAGCTATGGCTATTTCACCAACTGGCTGCCTTTCTATTTTTATCTAGATTCATGATCGTTCTTTTTTGGGATTGCTGACATGCCAGCCTCTAAAAGGTGTGGGATTATTTTATAGACATCATGTATTTTTTATTCATTTAAAATCATAAGGTTGAGCTGTCAACCTACAAAGCTGTAATTAGATGTGCTAAGAGGAAAAAAAGAAAAAGAGTCATTTACTTCGAGCAAACGGGGCACCAATTCAACATTCAGTGAGGTAGCGAGAAGCTGTGTTAGAGAATATCTATGGATGAGGCGGGCCTAAAAAAGTTCATCTGCCAGATGTTAAAAAACATGAAAATTAAGTTAATTAGGCTTATAAGCCATGTCTCAGCACTGTGTCCATGCTCCCCACCACCAAAACATCTTGAACACTTTACATTTGTTTAGTGCTTAGTTTTTCAAAAGACCAATTTTACCCTTAGCACATTCTCAATGTGTACAGAATGAATATCTGCATTTCAAAGACCCCACCAAAGCCTGATACATACAACACAAGAAATCCTTGTTGAATGGCTGACCCTCCTGACATACACGGTGTTTTGTAAAGATCATTAAGTGCTTTCATTGTATGTCACTTATCATTTCTAACACTCTATCAGCCCTGGGGGTTGGTGGTATTATCCCTACTTCACAGATTAGGACCAGATTCAGAGAGGTTAAGTGGCTGTGTGCAAGCACTAGAGCAGGCACTCTTTATATCACTGCAGAGTGGTCTCCTACAGGACAAAAGAGAATCAACACTGTTGGGGCACTTACAATGTTGCAAGTCCTACACAAATGTAACCGGGAAGGGCAGAATTCTTTCCAACTTTTCACAGATTAAGAAATGGGGGTTCTTCAAAGTTCAATAACTTTACCATGGTCAATAGCTCCAAAGTGGTAGAGTTGCAGAGAAGTGAACAGTTGCCTCGGGGCATTCAGAACCCAGCTTCTAAAGAATAGATGCTGCCACTTTCTGTACCACACTGTAAAAACCCAGTGTTATTCAACATGAACCCTGAAAACATTAGGGACACAGGATGCTCCTCTTTTTTAGACACAGATTTTTTTTTCCAAACAAAAAGGAAAGATTAAACAGACTCAAGCAAGTATCACTAGAATCCAGCCTCAACTTGGCTGCTAGTCATAACTCAGATCTAACCAAGTTACTCTTCTGCTTTAAAGCCTGGAAAGGATACCTACCAATTGCCCATTGGATTCATTCAAATCTCTTTACTTGGCACTTTAAGTCCTTCCTCATTGGCCTGCAATTCAATTTCTTCTCTCACCTTTCTTCACATTCATTCAGGACCCAAGCACAGCAAACTCCTGCTATTTTCCAAACACACACACAAGGCCCTGCCATGCCTATGGGCCTTTGTCTGTGTGTTCTCTCTCCATCTATAACGTGAAATCTTACATATCTTTCATCTACATTACCTTCATGAATCTTTCTGGGTCCTGAGCCAGAATTAATAGCTTTCTCTGCAGAGTGGTCTCCTACAGCTTTCTCCACAGCATGGCTATACATCTCTCCATCATAGAATTTATTACATTGAGTTATAATTAATTGCTAATGTTCCTGTGCCCTCTACTAGAGGATGTGGCAGAAGTCAAGGCTTATTAATTTCCATATTAACTTTGTTTAGCCCAGTGCCTTGCATGTGCATGCATGCATACACACAAAGACAGAGAGAGTGAGTGAGCACGTGCTGAATAAATGCTGAATGGCTGGCTATTTGAGAACAAGGTTTTTGTAGTTAACCCGGCTTCAATATGAAATTCAAAACAATGAAGACAGGACTCAAACACAGCAGGGAAATAACATACACTTTTAACTCTCAAAATAAATACTAATCAATTTTATTTTATAAATACAGATGCTGAGTTTTCTTCCAATTACCAACAGATCAGTTTCACATGCCATTTATTATTGGTGGTGGTTTAAAAAATTATTTAAATAACTGGTTAGGTCAGGATAAATGGGCACCATTAGAACTGCTAAAAAAATATAGCTGGAACAATCTTCCAAAACTAATATTCTGAGGGAAAAAAAATCTATGGAATTTCTAAAGTGGTTAAGGGGCGGAGGAGAGAAAAAAAACACGATCAAATATTCACTTGAGGACATTTGTTGGCTGTTAAAATTGTCTCTGCTGTATGAAAACTGAAAAGGGCTCTTAGCAGTTCAGAAATATATTAGTAATGAGTTTCCATTTCAACTTATTACTTCTAAGATTTTATTTTCTTAGTGACTTACAAGACTAATTAAAAAGATTAGTAGGAGATAATAGCTCATTCTGTATTTTGGCCTTGGCAAAATAGAGGCAAAACTAATTCTGCAGCTTTGTAAAATGCTGAACAGAGTTGTTTCAGGAGACATGTAATACTACCATAGATTCTACTCAGGTCATTGTAGAAACTGCAGACATCAAACAAAGTCAAAAGAAAACCCCAAACCCAAACAAAACAAACCCAAACCTAAGCAGTGTTTTGAGGCATACATCATTGGACAGTGTGGGTCAACCAAATATGTAGGCAACCATTGATAAGTTCTGAGAGATGTGATCACATTCAAGGGCAGGGATCCATGCTTTGGGAGTGAAAAGCCATGAAGCCCATAATTAGGGAGTCTACAAAGGGGAGATTGATTGGTGGAAGCCCAGAGCTCCAGGCTCTACCTGGCTGTGTGGAACCTCAGATGAACACTATAATCATGAGTCTCTGCAAGTGGTCTCACTGCTTGGTGGTGCCGAAGCCAGGCTGGAGGACCTGCAATTGAATGCACTGCAATAGTTTGAGTTTGGCGTGAAGTTTTAAATCTATCCCATATCTGGAGAAATCACAAATTGCATGTGATTCACCTTCCATTCTTCAATACTAACAATGGCCTTCAAAAACCTTTTATTTTTGTAGATGTTACTTCACTGGAGGACCCCACAGAACGATGTACATCCAAGACAGTGTCTGTTGCCACCCTTTTGACTCTTATATGAATGACAGTATACTGCAAGGAAGCTTCTGCTCCAGGTTTGGAGTGGCCCTACCCTCTTCATGTGGAATAAGATGGATTTCTTCAGATCAAGTTAAAGGTTTAAATTGCCTGAGGGTTAGATATGTCTGCTATGCAGTAATTTTGTGAGTTCTCTCTCTAAATGGAAAACAACAACACAAACTAGTCCATTTAACAGTGTAGCTATCAATTAAAATTGAGCCGAGAAATGCTTGGACAAAATATGAAAATGATTATGAGAACTATGAATTAAGTTGTTACATGGGACAAATGCAGCTACTGGAGAGTACACCTGTGAAGCATTTGTGTTGCTATACACAATAAGTAAATGAAGTCAGCAGCATTAGCTTAGATACAGCCACAATTTTTGTTCAGGCTAGTCCTGTCAAGATGTAACATATGGAGATGTAGGTTCGAGAGGAATTTCAAAGCTGGAAAAAAAAATCAGGTCAGGTGAAGTAAACTCAATTTTATTCTTCTATACAATACATGGATATATGGATAAATTTTCCTTAAAGAGCTTGCAACCCTGAGGCAATGTCCTTAGTTACATAATGTATAAAGCAATAACAAATAAAATCTAAATGCAGGAATGACAATTGGACATCAAAAACATAATTTAATATTTATGAAATTGCACACATACCAATAATATTCTATGCTTCATCTAGTCTCTTAATCCATCTCAACTGCCTTGCAGTTTGCATATTAGACAGCCTGACTCTCTATGTATACTTTGTCATATACAATGCCTTCTTTCTGATTGAAATTTAATAAATTAACCTGGGATTTACATAAAGGGATTTCTGTCTGATGAGTGCATTGCCAGAAAGCATACCTAGTTTTTGACCATAGCATCTGCCCACATAAAAACTCTGGCCCCTAAAGGGGATTCAATGCCATCTGACTGTAGTAACCTTGGGGCCCTTTAGGGTCCCCTGGGATCCACCAGAGGCAAGTTTTTCATCTAATTTGAGGGCTACAACAAGGGTATGGCAGAAGAGGTGGAAGGTCATGGCTGATCAGAAGAGATGGAAGATCTTGGCTACTGGGTTAAAGAACCAGTGAATCTGATGCCCTTAGTGTTCAGGATGCATAGTCCATCCTCCCTGAAGATGGGGCAACAGCGAGGTCTACAGGTTGACTATGGTACCTGGGGATGGGGGCAAAGGCAGGGGCAGATGGGCCTGCCAGAAGAGATGGAAGATCTTGGCTACTGGGTTAAAGAACCAGTGAATCTGATGCCCTTAGTTTTCAGGATGCATAGTCCATCCTCCCTGAAGATGGGGCAACAGCAAGGTCTACAGGTTGACTATGGTACCTGGGGATGGGGGCAAAGGCAGGGGCAGATGGGCCTGCGTATAAGGAGACCACTATACTTCTTATTCATCAACTTAATGGATGGTCATAGACCCTTCGGTAAATCGTGGAAACCAATTTCTGAATATTCCATTTTCCCCAAAGTTTTATAAACTACAGTGAGGGCAAATGCTTATGAGAAAATAAAGGTGAGTTCTTTATATTACTTATATATTATCATCTTCCCTCTGAGGATAACATAGAAGTGTAAATAAAAAGCAGACAAATACCTAAAAGGTAATTTGAGCTATAAGCTCTTTCAATTAGAGGGTGACTTTTTGCCTTAAAATAATAATCAGGCCTGAAAAGCAAATCTTGAAAGCAAAATCTAACTTTGTCTGGCTCACTGATATACAATGATCCTGAGTCCCTCCTTTTATTCCTAAAATCTGTTTTTCTGAGGAATATCCTCCATTAATATTCATTTTGTGTCATAATTAATACAAAGGGTAAGTGCAGCTTTATCCTCATTTTAGGCAGCGATTCTGCCTTGGTCCTACTGTCTGCTCACATCACTTATCAGAACTCCTGCGTGGCCGGCGGAAGCTGGATACATTTTCATTCAGTGCATAGATCCTTCGGGAGAACTCTTCAAATTCTCCCAGAACTTGTTCATCACACTCTACTGCCACGGCACTGTCCACTGGGATGCAGTTAAATGCTTCTAGCTGATCGCCTGAGGTGAAACCTGTGGCTTCCAGCCCAATGATTTCTTCTGCTTGTTCCACAGTACAGCAGAGCTCAGTTTCTGAGACTGGGTGAAACTCACCTGCAAGCTGGACACTGGTGGAACCAGCCTGCTCACTGGGTAGGAGAGTGCCATTTACTGTGGCCGGATGGCCAGAGAGGGCTTCACCTTGTTCTTGGCTAGCATTCACACTCACATGGCCTCCACTTAAGCTGTCACCCAAATTTACTTCTTTTTTCTTGTTTTCTTTGGAGAAGTCCAAGGAGGTATCCAAGGAGGAGGACAGAGATGTTGTCTTTCTCTCAGACTCTCCCATGGTAGTCACAGGCTGGGCTAACGCTGAGTTGTAACTGGGAGGAGGGCTTTTGTACTGGAGTCTCTCATTCTCTGAGCTGGCCCGTTTTCGGTGTCCTTTGTCTGGTGAAGGGATCCCCCCAGAGAAGCCTACATCTGCACCCCCAAATATGGAGCTTTGTCTCTTTGGAACAGGGATTGCACTGGAGGTGTGATGTCTGTCGCTAGAAGACAAACAAAAATGAGAAGTTACTTTCTACTTCAGAATTCGGTTAAGCCTTCTAGATCCAGAGACAGGAAACAGCATATTTAGATTTGAGATAATAAAAATAGATAATGATCATCTTAGGCAGTATTTATTGTAGTGTCTGAATGCAAGAAACCACATGTGGCATGCTGGGCCCAACAGTGGGAGATTCCTTTAAGAAGGATACAGACACACTGCAATATATTTAGAGAAGAGTGCCCAGTGTAGGATGGGGATAAGACATATCCATGTCATATGGGGAAGAACTGAAGTAAGTGGACAGACCGGATCTGGAAAGAAAAACATGAGGATGTAATCAACTTCACAGTCTGAAGAGCTATCGACATTGCTAATCTCGCTTTTAATATTCACTTATTTTATCTTTGTAAAGCAGTCATCCTCATTTGGCAGAGAAGTTAAATAACCTGCCCTTAATAACTCAGTGAGGCAGTGACAAGGCTGAACTAAAACCCGTGACTCATGATTTGATGATAAACAGCCTTTTCCAACACCCAGAAGCTAATCACCTTGCATTAGAGAACTGGCAGAGAGAGGATCAAGGGCACATTTTTTTTTTTCTCCATGAAAAATTAACTTGGGAAATAAATTCTTCTTTATAAGGCTAGCCACATACATGTTTTACAATACTTGGTCTTCGGTGCCTTCTTTTTTTTTTTTGTCTTTTGTCTTTTTCCATGTCCGGCAACGGGATCGCAACCCTCGGTGTTGCTCCCGCGCCTCACTCAGCCAGTGAGCGGGAACCGGTCTGTATGTGGGATCCGAACCCTCGGGCGGGAGCGCCGCCGCACGTCCCAAGCGGCGCACTATCCAGTGTGCCACCGGGGCCGGCCCTCGGGGCCTTCTTTTTTTTTTTGTCTTTTGTCTTTTTCCATGTCCGGCAACGGGATCGCAACCCTCGGTGTTGCTCCCGCGCCTCACTCAGCCAGTGAGCGGGAACCGGTCTGTATGTGGGATCCGAACCCTCGGGCGGGAGCGCCGCCGCACGTCCCAAGCGGCGCACTATCCAGTGTGCCACCGGGGCCGGCCCTCGGGGCCTTCTTTTTTTTTTTTTTTCCATGTCCGGCAACGGGATCGCAACCCTCGGTGTTGCTCCCGCGCCTCACTCAGCCAGTGAGCGGGAACCGGTCTGTATGTGGGATCCGAACCCTCGGGCGGGAGCGCCGCCGCACTTCCCAAGCGGCGCACTATCCAGTGTGCCACCGGGGCCGGCCCTCGGTGCCTTCTTTTGAACCTGAGTTACTTCTCAGAAAGGTATCTTTGGACCAGCAATAATAATCATTGTTCAGCTATATAAAGCTTTATAGTTTCTGACGTAATTTCATATATATCATTTTACTTGGTCCTTATAAAAACCCTGTCAAGAAAGCAAGGTATGCATTACTACACTTAAGTTTGAAATAATAAATAATAATCAGTTAATGAAAATAGAGTATCCAGACCCTGAAAATGATAGTTATATTATACACTGTGCTAGTCAAGCCACCCCTGGAGTATTGATCACAGTTCTACTATTATATGCAGATGAAATTAGCTTCAACACAACTATATGAACAAGCTGGGTTCAGAGGCAGAGAGAGATTCATTTGACTTGTGTTCTCCACATGAGGAACATGCATAGAGAAGTTAAGCGGCTTGCAAAGGATCAACCACTAGGCAAGAGTAGATGCAGGACTTGAAACCAGACACAGCCAACAAATAGTATAGGAGCAAGGCTTGGAGAGGGGAGACAGATGCAAGACAGAGCCCTGCCCCTAAGGAGCTTCAAATCTTGCAGAAGACTTCATAATTACTCGAATGATACATTTTCAAATTACAATTGTAATAAGTGCCCTGAAAAAGAAAAAGGTATCTAGGGTTCCTTCAATATGTGTCCACAGCTTCAAGCCCTGGAACCAGCTCCTTACTCCCTCTTCTTTCAAAGTTTTTCTGATGCTGGATTATGCCTGTGGTCTCAGACACCCAAGCAAGGGTTATTCTTTTTGAGAAAAGGCAACCACAAGGCTTCTAATTCGTGGGCCTGTCAGACTCCTTTGCTTGGCCATAAGTGTCAGTGCCAGGAGAGATTTCATAATTAGTGGAGATCACTGGGTGCATACAGAACTGAGCAAGCAGACAAGTAAATTACTATTTTTGGTTCTCAAGAAAAACGAAACAAAACAGAGCGAAATCTACTGGCCTTAATCTAGGTTTTCAGTTATATATTGCCAAAACTCATAGTAATTGGATAAGCTACACATTTTTGCCAACCTTATTGTTTTTACTCTACCGCTTGCTGACAGTGTCCCTCTCTAAATAATTTTGCAGGTTGGCAAAGTAATCAAACCAAAACAGAGCATCAGCACTTACTCACAGACAGTCTATCTGTGCAGACAAGCCAACCTTTCAGTTGGCAGCCCAGCCCAGGAAGGGTGGGAAACACCAGGTAAGCCAGCCTGGAACACTAAAGGTGAGGTTGTAGGTGTGACTAGAGACCGGGTGTTTAACCACTCATGGATGTGAAGGGTGAATAACTTGACACCCTCCCTGTGCTGCCATCTCCTCCCACCCCCTCCAGGTATCCTGCTCTGCTTCTCTGTTGGGCTCCCAGTGGGCTAAAAGGCAGGGTATGAAGAACAGGTCTGAAACACATCTAGTAGTGCTTACTACCCAGTGAGCAGGCTGGTAAGAGGAAGATGGGTTTTTGCAGCACTTATTGTATTTTGAGACTTCCAGAAAGCTCTCCTCAACAGAATAGTAATAAAGTGTGAGGACTGCCCCCCCAACCTGACCCCACAACTTCAATGGGAAGGGAACAATCATTTTCCTGAGCATCAACGATGTTCTCAGCACTGTGGAAGGTGCTCTGCACACACAGAACCCTCTTGCATCTGCCCTGTAAAAAAGGGAGGAGAGTGGGTGGGTCATGTAGTTTGTTCAAGGCTGAAGAACCACATCTGAACTAGATTCAGTTTAACTCCAGAGCTCATACTGTCTGTTGCATCCCACATGGGAACCTCATATTCAAATTCAACTAACATTGGCTAAGTGCCAATGATATGGCACACATCAAGTTAAATGCCAGTACACAGACCTTTTTGTTTACCCACAAACTCTATCTAAACTATGGTATGTTATCCCTATTTGCATGGATGGATTGTAAAGCTTTGAGAGGTGAAGACTTTGATATTTTCTGACATCTTGATTTTGTGACATTCTTCTCCAGCTCCCTTGGATTTTTATGAGAACTTGGGTAATGATACTATCAGACACAAATTGGAAAATCCAAGTATCGGCAAAACGTTCTCTCAAGAATGAAAAGAACATGCATTATTTTGGATAGACAATAAAGAAGTCTGCATATCTAAGATTCACCCTTTTATTACCACATTTTGGTCCTTCTCCCCCCCTTTTTTTGGCTACGTAAGTTGAAACCTTTCAAAAAAATTTTTTAAAACCTTTCTTACAATCTTAAAAAGTTGAACAAAAAAGTTATTTTACTGATGACTTTGGACCATTGATATGAACATGGATTATTAAGTGATGACACAGTAAAGAGACTATAGGATTTTCAGTGACATCTGTTTCTCAGGATATGAGTCTGGAGTTAAGCCTGCACTTGGAGTTTTCCTGCGTCCTCTCTTACTATTAGGTTGTCAGTGTAATTATATCCGTGCTTCAGCCTACAGTGGCTTCTCCTCTCTTTTTAAAATATTTTGCTGCTAGTTTGCTGTGTTCTTGTAAAGCAGATGTCCTAGGAGTTAGGCGCAAAATAAGAGTAAACTGGATTTGAGTGATGGACCAGGAGAGGGCCTGAGCACAATATGCTTTCTTGTATAAATTTTATAATGTTAGTTTTGGCTGCTTGGAATTACTATTTTTAATTACTTCTAAGATCTTAGTTATATTCCAGATTTTCAAAATAGCTGAGCTCCAAACAGCTGAAATATTATGATTACATTAAATATACAAACACACTTGCATTTTTAATTATTGTAATACTGTGCACCCACAGGATAACTCAAAAAATACAAACTATGTAAAAAAAAATCACTCACAAATAACTACTATTAATAACTACTATTGATTTCAGATATTTTTCTTTCAGACTTTGATTTTATGTATGTGTGTTTAATTAAAAAAATCAATAAATACCCTAAAGTTGTGTTTGTGGTATATACACATAATTCCATTTCTGGCTTTTGGATGTTATTAATCCTCTTGCTCTTGGTGAACATAATTCTAAATGGTTGCTTCATTGAATAAAATATCATAATTTACTTAATTGTTCCCTTATTTTTGTAGATTTAGGATGTTTCTAAACTTTTACTATTAGAAAACATACTGCTGTGTGAGCATCTCTATATAAAAACAAAATGCATAGATTTTTAATAAAAATTTTTGATTTTCATTTAATAGAAAGTTTCAAGGAAGACTCTTCATTACTATTTAGTACAAGCTAAAGGGAAAAAAAAGAGCATTTTATCTCTAATATTGCCTAAAAAGAAAAAAGAAGCAATTAAGAAGGCAAATAATAGAAAAGAAAAAGAAGAATGCTCAGAAGGTTTCAAGATTCTTTTTGTCTGATTACAGTCTGGCTTAATGAATGATTATTTCATCTGGACGAAGAGGTTGAAATGTATAGATTTACTCATTATATAGCCAATTTTTAAAGGCTACTGACAATTTATTTACCAAATGAAATCAGTACATTATTTAAGTTGTGACAAAAAATTACAGGGAGTTTCCACTCTTAAAAAACAACCAATGGAGTCCGGGGTCTTAAAAGCTCCCATGGCTACCATGGGCTCCTTTGAATGAGATTCAAATAAATGTTAATCTTTAACACTGAAACAAACAAACAAACAAAACCCAAGAGCAAAAACATGGTTGTTTTTGGAAGAGTGGATGTAGCAGGAAACGAGGTAATTTTTTATTATCCTCCACTCCTGTCAAGGGGTCCTGTGTGCTCTGAGGCAC